GCTTATAAGATTAACTCATTCACTTTATGGTATGGTAGATTAGTATACATAGGTGTTAGTACTATAAGAAAAATTGTTAAAATTAGATTAGTTTCATGCAAACTTGATAACTTAGATAAATGTGAAACTTGCACTAAATTTAAGATGATTAAAAGGCCATTTCATAATGTAGAAAGAATATCTCAATTACTTGAACTTGTAAATTTTGATATGTGTATTGAATGGCATGCTAACAATAGGAAGTAATAGATATTTCATTATATTCATTGATGATTGTTCTAGATATATTTATGTTTATTTTTTAAAACATAAAGATGAAGCATGTAATGCATATAAATTATATAAAGCAGAAGTTGAAAATCAATTATGAATAAAAATAAGGACTCTTAGAAGTGATAAAGATGGAAAACATTTTTCAATTGAATTTGATGTATTTTGTGAACAAAATGATATTATACATCAATGTTCTACACCATGTACACCTGAATAAAACAATTTAGCTTAAATGAAGAATAAAACTTCCTTAGAAATGATTAATGCCATGTTATTATATGCTGAACTACCTTTTAATGTATGGGATGAAGCCCTACTTACTTCATGTCATTTAGTAAAAGGATTCCTTAAGAAAGAATTATATTTCTTCATATGAAATATGAAAAAGGAAGGAAATCAAATATAGGATATTTTAAAGTGTGGAGATGTCTTGCTTATTACAAAATACGGATCTAAGAGAACCAAGTTAGACCTTAGAGGTATAAATGTGCTTTCGTGGGGTATGCCTTAAATAGTAATGCATACCGCTTATTAAACGTAGAATCCAATGTTATAATAGAACCAAAGGATGTGGATTTTTTTGAGAATATATTGGCAACAAGAAATTCTAAAAATGAAATTCAAATAGTCATTCTCGCTTCTAGAGAATCACAAGTAGAAACATCTACAAGAGATGTGAAACTATCAAATATACCTCGAAGAAGCAAAAGAGTTAGAAAAGAAAATGGTTTAGGATAAGGCGAAATACACTATCAACTCATTTCTCTCTATTTAGTCGAGGGAGAGAGAAAGTATGTTGTAAAAAATAATTCCTTTTGTTCTTCAAGTTGAAAGTGATCTTAAGACTTATAAGGAAGCAATGTCTTTTAGATTGCATATTTTGGAAAGATGCAATAAATTATGAAATGGATTCTATTATATCTAACAACACTTAAAAAATTGTTGATTTACCAAATACATCTAAATCTATTGGCTGCAAATGGGTGTTTTGAAGGAAATAAAATTCTGATGAAACATTCAATACTATAAATCTAGATTGTAGCTAAAGGATATCGACGAAAGGAAGGAATCGACTATTTTGACACATATGCATCTGTAGCTAGGATAACCTCGATAAGGATCTTGTTTCATTAGCATTAATATTTGGTTTTACATGTTCATCAAATGTATGTCAAGATGACATTCCTGAATCGGGTCTCGATGATGAGGTCTATATGTAACAATCAGAAGGATTTGTTCTACCGAAAAATGAACATAAGGTATGCAAATTAATGAAGTCTTTATATAGATTAAAATAAGCATCTAAAAAATGGCTTGAGAAATTTAACACTACTATTATATCATATGGTTTTACTATTATTCATAATTTGGTTAGTAAATATTTGTATATCAAAGTATGTGATAACATTATTACATTTGTATGTCTTCATGTAGATGATACGTTTATTATTAATAATGATATAGAAAGAATTAAAGAAACGATTATGTTTCTATCTTCTATGTTCAAAATGAACGATTTTGAACAATTGGACATTATCATTGGTATTAAAGTTAAGAAGGATAGCAATGGTTATTCATTAAGCCAATCACATTATGTTGAGAATGTGATAAATAAGTTCAAACATTTGAGCATTAAATGGGCAAATACCTCCTTGGATTCAAAATATCGTGTTAGTAAAGAATGATGGAAGAGTAATAGCTCAAATTGAGTATTCAAGTACAACTGGAAGTCTTTTGTATGCGGTACAATGTACAAAATTGAATGTTGAATTTTTCGTGAGTAACCTAATTAGGTTTACTAGTAATCCAAGTTCGGAACATAGAAAGCCATGGGGAGGGTTTTTTATTACTTAAAGAAAACCAAAAACCTTAGACAACAATATACAACGTTCTTGATTACTCTTAGAAGATATACCAACACTAGTTGGATATCGAGTGCGGGGAAAAACAATTCTATTTCACATTGGGTGTTTATTCTTAGAGGAGGTGCAGTTTTTTTGAGGTCTTAAAAACAAACATTTATTACACAATCAACAATGGAGTATGAGTTTGTAGCATTAGTCGAAATAGGAAAAGAAGTAGAATGGCTAAAGGATTTTCTTTATGAAATTCCTTTGGTGCAAAGGATATTTCTTCGATACCTATCTTCTATGATGTCAAGCCACCTTATTATGCGCATATAGTAAAGTATATAATGAAAAATCTAGACATGAGTCTAAGATGTGTATGTGAAGATATTAATCAAGCATGGATTAATTTTTCTCACATATGTTAAGTCTACCGAGAACTTAGCTCATCTGTAGACTAAACCTCTTATAAGAGAGTTAGTAAGATCAACATTGAGGATGGCTTGAAACTCCTAGAATAAATGTCCACTTATGATGACAGCCCTACTAACTATACTAAACAAGTATATTTAGGTTCAAGGAGAAATAACAAGTCATTCGATAAATGAATAAATTTAAGCATTATCAACATATTATAAAATCCTATCCTTGGTAAATAATGCTGGTTGTTACAATAAGAGAGATGAGTTTATAAAAGTCTGAATGAAATTTAGTACAAAGTGGACGTATCTCTATAAGTAACAAAGAATCTGGAAGGACTTCGCCTATGTGAACTTCGAAGTGGTACTGCCTCAATAGAGGATTAGATTTTCCCCTTTAAAAGTTCAATGAATAGGGTAAGTGTAAGACCATAATAGCACTAAGTGAGTTTGATGAACTTGTAAAAATAAAACACTCATATGTATCGATATTGTATAGGGAATAACTGATTCAAAGCTACCACGCTATCTGAAATTTCTATAATACTTCGTGAGACTTTCATTATGGTTAGATTCATGAATTGTTCTTTTATACTTCTTCCTTGAAGGCTTTAAATCATGTAAACTATTTGTTGTAAATTCTAAAAGCATACTAGATGAAGCAAATATCATTTGTAGAATAGTTTATCATATACGTGTTTGAGCCTCATTCTTCATTTCATCTTGTTCAATTTCATCTCTTTCTTCTCCTCTTCAATATTTCCAACAGAATCTAGTATGAAATATATTACACCTCAAGACGTATTTCCAAGCTTAAAAGTCAATGTATAACTCTACGTTTGTAGTACAAACACTCAACCCTAATCATGTCCTTTCATGTTCCACTGATCCATTCAGCCATCTGTCTCTTAATTGTTCCATAAGTGACACTTAGGATCCGTTTGAAAGATGAAATTTGAGTGGAAAGAAAACGAATTTCAGGGAATTGAATTGCCTAGAAATTGTCTTCCTGTGAATTGTAAATTATTATGTTTAACTGATATAATTTTTCACATGGAAAATGTTGAAATGAAAGTGTTTTTTGATGTTTGCTTGACTTTGTTTTATATGAAAATTGTCTTAAAGGGGTAAAATTTACTAGTATTGTGAATAAAATTTGTTTTGATTGTCAATTCATACTATGCCCATCCGCAGTTACAAGTAGTTTGACCGCTCAACAAGCATGGAAAACATATATATGTTCAAAGAGTATGATGGGCCCAAAGGGAATATTTTTTTTACAATAATTCTTAGAATTTGTTTACATTCCCCCCCCCCCACCCCCACCCCCACCCCAACCCCAAAATAAATAAATAAATAAATCGAAAAAATTAAAAAAAATTCGCTACAGTGACTGGGAATTTCAATTCCTTGATTTCATGGAAAATGCTGACGTGGTTAGAAAGTGGGAATTTCAATTCTAGGGAAAATTTTGGACAATCAAAAAATCAAAAATTGGAAAATTGAACCATGGAAAAGTGGAGTAATCAAACGGTGTCTTATTCTTATTTACGAAATAATATTAACATACTAAACGTGCATTTATTATACTAAAACATACTAAACATGCATTTATTATACTAATTATTTGCAGTAACTACAAATGGATGGAGTGCAGGCTAATTTTGTTGAACTGGAAACTGGGGGCCTCTATGGACAGATCACTTGATGGATTGATGGTCCCTTATGTGTTAGTGGTCTTATTTCTTTCAATGGGATAGGTGTCAGACTTTAGATAATTTAATTCAATTGACACTATTTCTAGCTACCTCTTACAGCTGCTTGGATTTACTGCAGGCTGCATTAATCGGGCTCCCTTGATCAATCAATGGGCGTAGCTGATGGAGCTTTATGCTGTTTTGATAGCTGTTCAGTATGCTTGGGACAAGGGATGGTTAAACCTACGGTTGGAGAGTGACTCGAGCTACGTGGATCAGCTCCTTGTTTCTACAGGAACCTCAGTGCCGCGAGTAAACCCGTTTTCAATTGTTGAGGTGGCTGCAGTTTTAGACTTCATTAACTTGGTCTCGTGAAGGTAGGAGTGACAATTGGGTCGAACAGCTGGACTAGGCCCATGGGCTCGTTAGACTCATTGTTCGGACGAGAGCTCGCGAGCTCGTAAAAACAAAGGTGACCAAATAAAAATGTGACCATCTGGTCACATTTAAAAACGATATATGCATATAGCGTCTCGGGTTGGCCCATTGACACCCGATGGGAAGGCAATCCTTTTCCATTCCGGTCATGCGTCCCTCGATCGGACGGGTAGATGTAGCCAAAGATTCCACTATTTTTTTTTATTTTTATTTTTTTAGTGCTCGTGTGTTTTGAGTGATTTGTGCCTATGTTACATTGTTTAGGCATTATTGTTGTATTTTCATTATTAACAAAGTAAAAATACGCAGAAATGAATAGTCTTAACTTCTAACTAAAAGTCCTATGTTTAAGCTCAGAGCCAAGTGCAAGTTACAAAATATACTGCTAAACAATGAAGTTTCCCATGTCAAAAATGAAGAGGTTCAATATGATTTTGAATGGTAGTAACTAAATTTGAGCTGCAACACATCAAGAAAATCTACATTTAATTCACTTGAATAAAAGAATAATTGCTAAAAATTTGAAAAAGTTCAAATTTCAGCCGTGTCAACGGGAATATATCCTTCACCTCTCAGCTGTCATCATGTCACAATGCTGACATCATAGTAGACCGTGCAGCCTCCCTCTTCATCTCTGCAGCTTTTCCACTCCCTCTGAAGTACATGTACACTTGCTGCATATCATATAGGCATTGAGTAAAGTTCAGTCACAATATGACCAACACAAAAGTCGACTAGATACCAAGGTAAGTTATACTGAACCTGTATGACCCATAAGCTAATCAAGGATTCAAGGCAGAAGAATCCAAATCCAACAAGATAGAATATCTGAAAATACGAACATGTATCAAAGTTCAGACTATTTCCAGGAATTTGCTTAACAAGCCTTGGTGATAATAAAAAGAAAATCTGAGAAATAATAAACGATAATCTTGTTTCAAATCGCAGTAATGTGTCATGCTTCAAATCAAAGTGCTCTTACAATCTTGTTTTAAGTCAAAAAGAAGTAACTGAACATTTCAACACGAATTCCCTTCGAAAGAGATGGTCAATGACTTTAGCAAAAGTGACTTTTTAATCTACACTGTGACCTTATTAAAATTAAAGAAAAACAAATACACAATTTCCGCAGCTTGACATATTCAACAATGCTATCTGGAAACAACATAAAGTTTTAACAGCCTTACCCCAACCAAAGCATTTCCACTTAAAATGTCAATTGCGGGCAAGATTCCACTGTCAAATGAAATACATTGGATGAGCATCAGTGAAAAAAATAAATAAAAAATAATCATTTTTCTTCTTCTATTTCTTATTTATTTTTCTTTTATTCCCTATTTTGTTTTTTCATGTTTAATGTGCAGGATGCAAATGAGCCTAGCTGAGCAAATACTTGGCAAACATCAGGCTCAAGCTAAATTGACGGTAACCTGTTGAGCTTCAAAAGCATAAGAATCAGATCAAGTTGTTTGCGCTCCTATTAATCGGGAATTGTTTTTGTCATACTCATTTTAAATTCTCTGTCTCTCTTTTTTCCGTGTGCGAAGTGTGTTTGTTGGAGGAGGTTAATTTCTGGTCACAAAACTTCACTACCTCAAAAGCCCCTTCCTTCTAAGCTAATTACGATAGAGAAAACTTACGTCAAAGATTTCCCTTTAAAAATGATTGGAGGAGCAACACAAGCAAAGATGCAGAAGCCAATGTGAAACTGTATGAAATAAGCAAAAACACAAAAGTGAGGTTGTCAAAACCAATAAAGGATGAAAAAATAATCATTAGAAGAATTATTTATGTATTTACCAGGTAACACAATAAGAACCATCCAAACTTCAAAGCACTGTCAATCCTGCAAAGAGAATAAACAATAAATAGCGGAGAATGATTTTCAAGTGAATAAACATTATAAATACACATCAACAGATAGAAGAATAGATGGAACAAAACAAGAAGCAAACTTCAGTTGAGTCTTTTCTTAGCCAAAGAAAAAATAAGGGAAATGAAAAATTTCAACAAAATTTAAAATTTGAACAACAGAACATATATTACGTCACAATATCATGTGAGAAAATTAATAAAAGTACGAGACAAGATACTCCTCAAAAAATTGACTAAATAGAACTCCGTAACCTAAAAAAATTCAATGAGTGTACTTACACAATCCAACAAGCCACAAGTGTTCACATTTTAGTTCGAGCAAATTTTTATAAAAAAGACCTCCAACCTTCCACACCCCCCCCCCCCAAACAAAGATTGAGATAAAGAGAGAGTTAGGGAGGGAGGAAATATTTGTACCTCATTGCACGGTAAAGAGGACGGTACCACAGAAAATAGGCTCCTGGAACACCAGTTATAAAGTAGATAATAGCAAGAAACCAGATTGTTGGACCTGCAATAGAAAAGTTAAAGTAATATCGACAGTGGTTAATGATCTTTGAAGCCTATAAAGGCTGCAAAATGTCTATCAACACCCACCTTCCCCTTTAATCCAAGCTAAACTAACTGCTACAATATTCCATAGAAGACAAACTACCAAACCTGCAAATCAGAAGTTCCAGAATATGAACCCAATGTGAGCTGAACCAACTCATTATCAATCTAACGCAAATTAAATGCACGAATATCGGAAGAACATTTAGTTTTATCACTCCTTATTAGTTATTAGTTTCTTTTTGAACTTGTTGCATGCTAACTACACCTATATGCTCCAAATTCTCAAATTTAAGGCTGCGCTCTCCCATTGATCTACAATCATTAACCAAACTGTGTTTATTTGTCCATATGTAATATAACATTTAAGCTCTCCTACTGTGAGTAACCTAAAATCTAGTTGAAGGCCTGCCCGTGAAAAGACAAAACCAGCAGTAGAAATGGAAATAAGCTTACCTTAGCAGCACTAATGTGTGTTTTCATAGAAAAAGCTTAGTCTGAAAACTTTAAATTGTGTTGTTCTATCCACATTAGTAAAGATAACAAATAACGCAGGTTTTAGGTGTAAAACAAGTCAGGACAGATCATGCCACCTGGGAAAACACCCACATGGTCTGCAATTTCTGGTGGTCAACAGATGTATTTATCTCTTTTAAGTTAATTTTCTGAAAATAAGCTGAGGAACACGAAATAAAAGGCATGTGTCGAGTGGCCTGTGGACCTGGAGAGCCAAGATGGGTGCTGCTAATTTCTTGTGTCCGACCCACCTTTACATCTCAAATGCAGGCACACAATACAAAGTCCAAAATCACTAGAATAGAAGCATGGCTAAATGGTAGCAAGTACATTTAGCAGTCATTTGTAAATGACAACTATGTTTAACTAACTAACAATAAGGAAGGAAAATTAAGAAACACAACTGCAATTTGAGCAGTGATATTTTGTTAGTGACTAATTGCAAAACAGGGATTGTGACATACGTCAGTAGAATAGAGTGAATGTCACTGAATTGCATGATTGATCAATCACCATTCCTCCAGCAGAAAGTAAAACAAAGATTACTAGATCATTGAAGTTGAAGACACAAATATGAGAGGAAGATTCAGTAAAATAATTTAAACACGCAGTACATAATAAAAATGGCTTACCCAATAATGTTGTGAATGCAACATACTGCAGCTTCTGTAGATGAATTGGAATTTCATTTGCAATGTCATGATGAATAATAGGGATATATGGTGGCCAGTTTTTTTCCTCAATAACAACTCCAGCTGCCCAAGAACATAAAAGATCAATAATGTGCCATGTACAAGATAATGACAAAGTTCAATCATCAGATCTACATAAAATGAAAAAGGGCGTATGAGAAAGAAAATTACATCTGGCAATAGCATCTTCCCTCCTTTTCAGTTCCTACAAAACATCAGAAAACTGATTACTGTTTAACATGCAAACAAAAAGTTCGAAAACATGAGAATTAGATTTTTAACGTTCATCTAAAAATTAAATCAAAGTTCTGAACTTTTTAGGCCATCCACAAAAGAATAAAAAAGAAGATTAGGAGCTAACACAATATTGAACACCGAATTGGCATAAAAAAAAAAGTTGAAGTAGAACACATGGTATAATCAAATTAACTATATCTTATTTTGACAAAATGTAAAAGCTACTGAGTATGCAACATAAGCTTACCTGTTCCCTCTTTTTCAGTTCAGCCTCCTTAGTTTGGAGTTCCTTCTCCTTCTTTTTCAGATCCTGCATTGCACATAACTATCATTCTGGCACCTGCTTATACAACAAGATATCGGCAACCTACGTTCAATTAACAAGCATATATAGTCAATGGTATACCTTGGAACTATCAAGAGGTATATCAACTGTTGTAGAACGATCATAGCCGGCAGGTTCAGAACGAAGAGGTGAGAGCCCTGTGTTTGCAGCAGGACGGTCACTTCCAGGATTCTGAAAAAACTCAGCAGGAAGAGAATGCACACAAACATGAGCAAAGTGAATAAAAATTATACCCAGATAGATAGTGAAAATATGCAAGAAAAAAGTGCTAAAAAAGTTCAAGATCGTGCCTAAAATTATGAGAGAGATGGAGAAAAATATGACAAACTAGAGTTAAATTGTAAGGAAAATATTTAAAAGAACTGCTATAGAGTAAAAGGTGTTAAGCTGTGATTATTTTGAAAGCCAAAGAATTAGACAAGTGATGACAAAAGAATCTCGAAATTCTATATGACATCGGACAACAATTGTCAATCACAACGAAGACATGTTTTTGGAATCAACAACAAAATTAATTGAGATTTTGCCAGAGATGAAAAATGAGCAAGCAATAACAGCCCACCCACCATGCAAAAAAAATGACAACTTCTCTCAGTTAGTCAGTTTATGACTTCAATTCCCCTATTCCCAATTATATTCCTTTTCTTCTCCTTCCAATTTTCTAATCATACCACAAAATACTATACAAAATGTGGCATTATCGGCTATATGGAAAATATACGGCATGTACTCCAAATTTCCTTTCATCTAAATTCAATACTCTTTACAGTCTTGATATTTGTACACCCATACGGATATTATCATAACAAGTTCATTGCACAATCACTATTCCCAAAAAAACCCTCAAATTCTCCAGAAAAAAGGGGAAAGAGAAAGATTATCACTCAACCATATCTAACCTCTTTTATAGCATAACTTTTAGCACATGAAAAAAAAATAAAACATGACAAACATATAGAGATACATATCCAGCTTATTATGGTTGATGCAAATCAATGTAGAGGAAATATCAAGTTCTGTGGTACAAATACGCAAATTTTCCTGCTTCTTAGATATAAAAATCCATCTAATTCATCAATTAGTAATCTACTAATTGCAAAAATACAGCTATGGTGCAAAAAAAAAAAAAAAATGATACACCAGAAAATGTCAACTATAATTTCAATAGAAACACAATCAAGTAAACAGATCCGAGATTCCAGACAGCAAAACATCAACAACCCATACACACATTGCATTATCACAATCACATACCCAAAACATTCCATCTCAATTATATCAAATTCATAGACATGCAAAGATGAGAATTTACCGCAAATGGGTTAACTTCTTCTTCGCCAAAGGGATTGGAATCGTAACTGCCAGCCATTACAAAGAAATCTTATATAAAATACACAATGTAAACTTAAATTTTAACAAAATGACAAGAGAAAAAAAAATCACAGATCTGAAGAATATTGAAAATGGGTAAATTAAAGTAGAAGGAAAATTGGGTAAATGTGCTACGTAGAGAAAATGCACGGCCTTGTATAAATTGGGAAATTGTTGTTTTTGGTAATATTTTTGTTTTCTATTTATTATCTTCTCCTTTCTTCTTAAACGGAATGTGGCAGTTAATCTTTCCCAGGAAAAAAATGTAAAATAATGAAAGAAACCATTGGCGGGTGAGAGTTATGTCGATCGATCATGTTATATATACAATTGTTGACACATAAAAAATTCAGCCCAAATCGAACAGCCCAAAGAGTAAAGCCCAATTAGAGGATCCCCAAATCAGATAGTCCAAAGAACGAAATCCAATTGAACAAATTAAGGTGAAGGCCCAAATAAGAGGCCCAAGAGTGCGGTAACGCCATCGTCCAAGTTTGCAAGTCGCTCAGAATCTGAACGAATGGAGTGTCATACGGTCGCCCAGAGCTGTTATTCTATTCTCGCCCAAACATTCAAGTCGCCCAAGGTATCAACAAACATGACGCATTGTGGTTATCAAGAAATGCAGTTATCAAGGCAGTTGTTAAAGTAGCCCTATCACGTTCCACGACTCAAGGAATTCAATCGAAAGCGGTTGAATGATGCAAGATAATGGCAGCAGTTAAAAGGCAGTTTCATGACAAAATGGCCACTACAAAGAAAGTGGGTAGTTATAGGGCGATCAAATAGTTTTTAGAGCAGTTAATCACAAAGGGATCGCCTATGAAGTATAAAAGGGAGAAAGGACATAGAAGCAAGGACCGAATCCAAAACTCTCGAACAGAGAATATATAATTTTCATTTCCTTAGCTTTTAGACTTAAACACTTTCCTTTATGTAACTCGTGTGCTTGCGTCCCTTGGAGGCACGTTGTTTTTTCGTTTCCAATTGTAAAGTTCATCGCCAATAAAAGAACACCCCTTTTTGGGACTTTGTCTCAAGAGGTTTCGTCCCTTACACAATCGTCTGATCCTTTTTAATTGTTAGCGAATTAACCTAGCGAAACAATTTGGCACGCCTAGTGGGACAGTGGTGTTAGGTGTTGAAAGTAAGAAAGGTGAAACAATATGCCTCAGAGATCCGACAAGGAAGGAGCAAGTCAGGGAGGAATCCAGTCTGTAATCGAGCGATATGATGAGCAGCATGCCTCTCCACGAACAGATGGACAAAATCAGAGCAGTGACAGTCGTTACGAACCAATGACGGAGCTGAGTCCTCGAACCATGCGTGCATTGCTTGGAGAACTCACGCAAGACGTCGTTGAACAGGTAAATCTTCGAAATATTCATAATATGGAAAGATTTACACAAAATGGAAATGCACACTATGACAATATGGCCAAACAACTAAAGACGTTGAATGAAACAATGAACAAGTTAGTGGGCCAAATATGTCAACCGGCTATACCTCTTGCAAGTCACTTTCAAACTAGGACGATCGTAGGACATAATACTTCGGTCCTAAATCCAAGTCAAGGGGTAGAACCACTTTCTGGTCCCTCTACTTCAAACCAAGGGGGTACTACAGTACCAAATCAAAGTAGTGGGAGTGGTATGTCTAACTTGGGGGGTAATCCAAACGTGAAAGATAATGTCCTAAACAATGGACAGAATATTCCACGTGGTAACGAGGGGGTAGATGTCCAGGCTAATGGTAATGGCCCTAATTATGGTAATTTTGTTGCCAATCAAGGACCAAACATCAGACCTCATGCAAATCAACCGGTTAATCAGCCTGTAGGAATTCCATATGATCCCAATGTCATGTTGAGGAATCAGATTATGGAAATCGTGCAGGATCAGATGGCCTTTGGGGTGCGTCCTGTCATTAGGCCGACGTACACAAAGCCATATCCTGATTGGGGAGACCAAGCATATCCATGGCCTAGAGGGTACAAAGTGCCAGAATTCTCACTGTTTACTGGTTTAGGAGAGGTGTCTACTCTAGAACACATAGGGCGATTCACGTTGCAAAGTGGTGATGTAACCGATTACCATAAAATGAGACTTTTCCCTAGTTCGTTAACAGGAGTAGCTTTCTCCTGGTTCATCAACTTGCCGGCGAACTCTGCTCAAACATGGCAACAACTGGAACAGTTGTTTCATGCTCAGTTTTATAAAACTGAATCTGAAGTCACTTTGGCTGATTTGGCGAATCTACGTCAAATGCCAAATGAATGGGCAGAAAGTTTTCTCCAAAGGTTCAAAACAGCAAGAAGCAAGTGTTTTGTACCTCTGCCCGAAAAAGAATTTGTCAAGATCGCACAAGGCTGCTTGAGCTTTGATTTAAAAAAGAAGTTCCAGGACAAGGAATTTCCCGACCTTTTCCAGTTGAGTGCGAATGTGATTAGGTATGAGCGACTGATAAGAGAAGAAGAACAAATGAAAAATTCTAGTAAAGGGACTTATTACAGAGACCCAAATTTTGACGTTCATACCATCGATGACGAATCGTACGATCAGGCCGAAATATGTTTGGCCGAATTGGTAAAAGGGGATACATATACTTGTCCCATAATGGCCAAGCCTAGACCATCGGGCAAAGATGAGCCCATAAAAGATGTAAACATAAAGGCTAGAACGTTCTCGTTCGATGTGATCAAAGCTGACCTTATATTAGATAAATTATATAGGGATAAGCAAATAAAGCTGAGCGATAAGCACAAATTGCCAAACCCTGAACAAATAAAGGGTAAAAAAATATTGTAAATGGCATAATGCATGGTCACATTTGACTAACAATTGCTTGGTTTTTCGTCACGTATTGCAAGATGCTATTGAATCAGGACGAATTACGTTCGACGATAAGAAAAAGATGGCAGTTGACGAGAATCCTTTCCCACAGCCACTTGGAGTAAACATGGTAACATCTGGATTCAAGAACAAGTTACCAAAATTCAAGTTAGTCAAAGATGACGGAGAAGAAGATCCTAGACCACATCCCAGAGTCTTTGAACGAATCAAAGGAAAAGAACCAAAAAAGGACGAAGACGTCCTATGTGCAATGTGTAAAAGGGAAGTAAATGGAAACACGGAGAAACCAGAGACATGGCAGTATCCTCATCGCCCTGTTTTCTTCCCAAACGTTCGGCCTGGTAGAGGGCGAGGTACATCATTCTATAGAGGACCGCCTTTTGAAAGGCAGTTCAGACCAACCGATGCTGGAAGAACATTTAGGCCGCAACCTCGCCGGCCAAATGTATGGCATTCATTCCAGTACACTGCAGGAAGGGCAATACCCTTCGAAGAGATGACTAGGACCCAACAAAGGCGTTTCCAACGAAACTACGGACGGATGATGAGGCAGCAACAAGGAATGCCACACCCTAAGGCGCCTATACTACTCAAGGTAGCCAATCAAAACGTCCTCAAAGGTAGTAAAGAAATCGGTACAGATGAATCAATGAAGGAACTGCCAGAAACCTCTTCTGGGAGATCAAGGTTTGAGAGGGACAAGAGGGATGAGGAAGATCCAGATCAGCCCCTTGCTATCCAATTCGGTACATTGCCTCCTGTTGTGGCCAATAACTACCTACTGGCCAATGAATTCAAGAATAAGGAAAAGGAAGAAGAGGGGGAGGACAACGAAGGAGAAACCTGCGTGTTGATATGTGAAGAAGGCCAAACTTCTGGAGGGGCCTACAACGACGAAGAAGACGATGGGATGATGGACATTGAAGAAGAAATCGACCTAGAAGCAGAAATTGAAGAAGAAATCGACCTAGAAGCAGAAAGGAAAAAGAGAGGAGTATCGCGCAATACTCTGTTTAAGCAACTACATCAAGAGGGAGTTCGCGAAGTAGACTTATTGGGGGAGCCATCTGGGCGTCCTTTCGATTTCTACGTACTGTACGGGATACCCAAAAGGAAGAAGAGAGTGCCTCGCTCTGAGAAGTATGGGTCACCTCCAAGAATAATGCCTCCTCCCACAGGTTGGATAACTGATGAGGAAGCATTAGAAAAAAGTAAGAAAGAAATTCAGGAGACAAAGGATCAGCGTGACATACTGCACGTCGACCTATCACAAGGGGATAATTCGACAGAAAACAAGCAAGAGGTAGAAATAGAGGTTGCCGAAAAGGTTGTTTTTAAATGGCCAGCCATGAAGTTGACAAAACACCTGAGGCCATTATACGTTAAAGCTCTAGTTAACGACGTCCCAGTGGCAAAAGTGCTTGTCGACAATGGAGCAGCTATAAACACCATTCCATTCAAGATGATGAGAAAGTTTGCAAAGACAGAGGGTGATATGATTCCTACAGAAGTCATCCTCACTAGCTTCAATGGAGGAGTAACTTCAGCTAAGGAAGTTATGCCATTGGACATAACTATAGGTACAACTACCAGGACCACTATCTTCTTTGTGATAGATGGTCCTACTAGTTACAACATGCTCCTAGGAAGGGATTGGATACACGGAAGTCGCTGTATACCCTCGTCGCTCCATCAATGCCTGATTTTTTGGAATGACAAAGGCGAAGCAGAGGTGGTACAGGCCGATCATAGGCCTTTTATCGCAGAAGCAAACTCGGTGGAGAAGTTCATGTACGAAAGAAACTATGGACCTGTCAGAGTAGTGCAAGGCGGGGAAGAAACTCAGGTCGTCGCACAAAGCGAAGAACCGTTCTCAGTGGATGCACTCACTGAAATATTCAAACAAATGCGGCCAAATATAGTGGCCCTGGAAGAGCCAGTGATTGGCAAAAGGATAATTAAAGAGTCTTGAATGGACTTTAAATTGCGAAAGCAAGTGGTCGACATTCAGGCCTTCAAAGCCAGACTGATGGCTTTCAACAAAGAATGCAATGACAAAGCAAAGAAAGAGACTGCCCTAAAAACGCTGAAGGACAAGTTGGCAGTATTCGAGTTAGAGCAAAGCCTTGGCCGAGAAGTCAACAAGGTGGACTGTTTGGAAGAGGAAGTACTTACAAAAAAACTGGACGACGAAGTGATGCGGATTGCCAAACCTGGATACGCTCAAGCGCAAGACCCTCTGATCAAAGTAAATATTGGCGATGAAGGAGAGGATCACCCAACGTTCATTAGCCAGATGCTCGACCAAGAGGTTAGTAACAAATTAATCGCTTTGTTAAAAGAGTACAAAGATTGTTTTGCTTGGGAATATGAACAAATGCCTGGTTTAGATAGAGACTTAGTGGAACATAGATTACCAACTAAGCCTAATTTTAAACCTCATAGGCAACCTCCTAGG